TACCTCCAATACCAAGCAATAAAGCATTTCCACCAGGTTGTCTTAGAATTCTGCTGATTCTTGTTATGTGTTCACAAGCATCCAAGAACATAACTAATTTCATCTATTTCTTTCCGCTTCCAACATCCTTGTTGTATTGATCTAATAATTCTTCCATCTACCCAACAAAATATTGAAGATCTCCTTATACCTAAACGTATGGCCTTACATCTAAGTCTCTGTTACCTAGAAAATCACAAAAGATGATTCTCTCCTAATCTAATACTTCTTCCTATTTCAATCCAAAATCAACAAAGAATTGAGTGAGTAGCTATTTGAAATAGACTCTATCTTATTCATTAATCAATCTATCATGGAATACTCTCATATTTTCATGATACCATAGTTTAACTAATTGGGCAGGCTCCTAGCAGTTTTTAGGTAAGATACTGCAAATTCCTTAAAACACTTTGTTTATGTCTCTGAGATTGAAGGTGTAATGACTTTTCGATGGAGTAGGCAAGAGGTCTCTTCTGACTGAATTATAAATGCTTAACACACTATTAATTAGTTGCATCTACAACATTTGCACAGTTTCACTGAATTTCTTATAGAAAAATTAAATTATTTTTGAAAATATTGATTTAATGACATCCTCATCCAATTCCGTGTATGCTAATACATTAAAGTGTCGAACTGCTCTGCCTGTAATATTACTTCTACCACCACCAGGAGGCCCCATTGCAGACAAGATGAGCAGCCCTTCTAATTTCACAAATTACAGATCTTATCTATTATACCAACCTTAATGATCTAATATTTATCTGATCAATTCTATAGGTGGTTAAGCACCATACTCTTCTTTCTTAGGCATGTTTAGATCATCCACGAAAATGACTTATCTCTTTCCGACTGGGGGTCCTCTTACTCCTTTTCTTCTTTTGTCAATCCAAGAGTCAATCGTATCTTGTGTTTGATTTGCTGATGTCTAAGCACTAAAAGTTAAGGGAACATATTGAAAATCTTCAGGCATGCCCATGATCAATAATTGATATGAATTCTATGATTTACCTGTACCTGTTGGTCCTGGGCAACACACATGGAAATTATTAGTAAGTATCAATTTCATCAAATACATATTACGAGTGGAATCAGTAGTAGGAATCACAATTTCATGGAATTATAATTTCTAATCAATTTCAAATGACTAATAAGCATCACTCCAAGGTGATAAATTTATTTAGTAATCATAAATCAAACCCTCTTTTGGATATTCAAAGTTGGCTCTATATTTTTGCATCTATTATCTATGGAACTTATCGCATTTTTATCTACTTTAGAAATCTCCTGTTACCATAATACTCCAAACTAATGAATAATGGAAGTAGTATTCAATATTCTGATTCAATTGATCAAGTTCATCAACTGAGACTTTTTTAATTTCAGTTTCTACATATGGAGAAATTAAACTGTCAATAATTCTCTATTGCGATTAAACTAAATTGTTTCTCATTGTAGGAATAACTTCTTTACAATGTTTGTATGTAAATTCCAGTGCCTCATCCACATATTATTGGAACCACTTAGTCAAATTGTTCAACACATCCTTCTTTTTTATTTTTAATATTTGTAGGAAACCTTTAAACATAGGAATCAATTAATGGTTGTATACCCATTGCTCTAGGCTCCATGTAAACCATACCACATCTTGAGACAGTGGCAGGTGAAGCAACAGCCAAATCTTCGACCTCAAACATCATGGTCATGTATTGAGTTAATGTCAAGATCTAACCACTATTCAAACATAACTTCTTGTTGTCATCTAATACAGTATTCATGGATTCTATCCACAATGCATCAACAGGTCCATCAAACATTATCCAATGTCTGTCAGAACTTGTGTCTTTCACAGCTTCTCTCACCATATAGGCTAAGACTCCATCAGTCCATTCGTGAGTTTATTCATTGAATTGACCATATAATTAACCCATAGTAATTGATTTAGGATTCAATATGTGTGTATGTACTTTATAAAAACCATTGGCTTCTCCTAATTTCGTCATTGACTTTGAGAGGATCTAGTAATTGGTTGTCTTACCACCTCCTGTTGGACCCACCAGCATCAGTCCGTGTCTGACTTATATTGTATCATAGAGTTGTAGCACTTTATCAATGAATGGTTGTACAGGTTGAACAGGATAAGGTTATTCCTTGAAAACGTACTTCTCACATTACAATGATAATTCTGGAATCAACTTACCATAATCGTATTGTGGTCTTTCTAACCCAGGGAATAAATCCGATATGATGTTTTCAAATAATGGTAAATCGTCTTTCAAAAATTTTGGAACATTTACATCTCTAAGCGCTCTTAATAATAATTATTCTTCATTCATATCTGGGAATTAAACTTTTAATAGACCTGCTGCATTAATCACAGATCTTACTGCTCTCATACCATAATCGTAGTGATCTTGGGATGACAATTATTCTGAACTCAATTTGAATGTAGTAACCATCTTTTTAGAGAGATCTCTACCTAATTTAAAACCAAATGAATAGAGCATAATTTCACCAATCATAGCATAATCTGGAACCATCATAGCCACTGGTCTAAAGAGTGCCTTCAAATTATCAGGTAACTCTGTTCTTCCAGCATAACCAGGATTCATTGTAATAAACACTGAAAAAGTAGGTAAGATTTTAATGAATGAACCTTCAAATTCTACTTAAGGTGTTCCTTTTGCTTTTTCTCCAAATAACACTAGCAATTACTATGCAATAACTGATAACACTTCAATATTGATACGATTGAACTCATCAAAACAGGCCCAAGCACCAGCAGATGCTAATCCCTTAAAGAACTTGCCAACCATAATAAAATCCATAGAGTCCGAACAATTGAACACCACACATTATTTTGCCAAAGCTTTTCAGCCAAATCCTTAGTTGATTCAGTTTTTCCAGTACCAGCTGGACCTGCTGGAGCTCCTCCCAAATTTAACCTTAATGCACCCATCAATGTCATATAACATTTATCAGTCAAGGGTGTAATAACCAATCTGAGTGTATTTCCTAGATATTCATAACCATATGGGAAATTGGTTTATACACACTTTACCCAACAATCAAAATCTACTAATTGATTTTCCCAATAATATCTTAATTGCGATATCCATTCAAAGGCAAATTTGTCATACACCTCACTCTCCACCATCTTCTATACAACATCTTTGGCATGCACATCAATAACAATCAAAGCATTTATTGTAACCATTGCTTGTTTTGATAATTTAGTTCTAACCAAATCAACTAATGACCCAAGCTAATCTTCCAATCTTTTGAAATATCCTTTAAGATTCTAAGCATCAATAGCTGCTTCTACTTCTTTTGTCCAATGCACTTATGATCCATTCAATACACATTAACCTGGATGTTTCAAAACCCATTCTTCTCTTTTTACTTGTGTATAATTTTCAATACTAACCATTAATGCTTATCTAACTGATAACCTCATCATATTTTCAACTTCATTCATCCATTCTTCAACATTCTTTTTGTTTGGATCCACTATTTTGGCAAAAGGTACTTTCTCCTTTTCAGCTGAAAACATAGCATGAATTTTCTTATCCTTATCAAATTCTATTGAGTTGATATTCTCAAACACTTTCTTAAGATGAGGTTAGACTGCTGTTGGTTCTTTTGTCTAAGATAGAATTTCTAATAATTCATCATTTGATAAGAAGTAAAATCTTGCAAACTTCTCTCTTTTCTTTTCTAAATAATTGTTCAGTTCTTTTTAAACCATTTCCAATGTCTTATTGGCTTCATGCAATCTTTCCCATAACCCATCTTCAATGCAAACATCCAAGACCTTCTCCTTAGCCTTGGCTTGTGTCACTGTGGTTCTCCAAGTTTAATCAACCGTTTTAAACTTCTTGGTTTCTGCTGGCAATTACTTAGCGATGTCTTGAGAATCAAATATGGGTTACAAATACATCCATTATTACTAAAATTTAGCCCATTCTTCTAAAATGTCTTGAATCTTCCTCAATGACTTATCCCATTCACTGATTCTTTCTTCAAAGAATTTCTTAAATGGTGAGAATACCATAGCAGAAGTATTAATAATGTGTTCATCCAAGACTATTTGTATTTCATCGAATCCTTTGAGAATAAATGTGTTTTTGTATTGAACACATTAAAATTTAATATTCTCCCAAGCATTAAGCATATTGTCAAGCATCATTTCTATTTAGTATTCCTTGTTGGCTGTTTCTCCAATATTAACAACCTTGTCAATCACATCCAAGAATCCATCATTGAGAATTCTCTAAAAACAAAATCCCTATTCATCAGGGTTGATGACATGATCAAGACCCTTCAATTAAGACACTTACGTCCAATGTCTTACAGTCATACCTTTCTTCCTAAGAGCTGACAATAATGGCACTTTTGGTCTAAATTCATCAATCTCTGCTTTTACAGCTTCAGCAATCTTTTGAATACCTGTTACTTGAATTGTTCTCATGGCAGTCTAGATATTTTTAACACCTTCCTCAACTATTCTCTCACACTCATCAGCATCAACATTCATAAAATCATCATTCAACCATTATTTAATACCATTCTTAAATTTATAAGTGCTTGACCATAAATCATAATAGGGCTTGAATTCCCTAGACATGGAGTTCAATTTGGAATAATCAGTTTGTGGTTTATCAAACAATGCTTCTTGCATATTGAATTTGCTAGCCTATTCCTAAAATTCACTGATTTATTTCATCACATATTCAACCACTTCAGCCATATCCTTATTCTTACTCACGTCTTGATGTTTATGAAACTCTTGAATAGTTCTCTCCAAATTTTCAATCTGCTCTCTAAAGTCTTCTTATTAAACTTTAGCATCATCAGAGAATTTAACTTTCAATTTCTCCAATTATCCATTTCTCACTTCAACCATCTCCTTTATTTCCTTTGGACTTCCAAATATCTTCCATCTCCTTTGGAAATCATCCAGTGGAAATCTGTAGTTGAATTCCTCCAACATTTTGAACACATCAAATAATTAATTCATTTTGATCTTCATCTTCTCCAACTCCTATGGCAAATTACCAATATATTCCTTTAATAGTGTCAACTTTTCTATTGTGTCAGGTTCCTCAAGTATTGTCTTCTTGATATCTCCAAATTCCTGAAATATTCTAATACTAGTATTTCTTGCTCTTCTAGCAATAAGATCAATTAGATTTTTTTAAAGTCCTTAGTATCTTTCAATAAGAATTCCTTTTGCTTCGTTCAAATGAATTTCAAACATTCCTACATGTATGGAATCTAGAATTTCTTCGTTTAATTATTTCTCCTTCTAAGTAGCCTTAATGATTTCATCACGAATTGATTCAAATTCTCTTGGAGGATCTTCTAGTTCAATGTCTCTAGCCACATCATCTGGTCTCAATTTTAAGACTGGGATGTATTTATTAAAAACAGTCTTGTATTACTCCAATGGTTATAAGGCTTCTTCAATTGATGCTTTGATACAATAGTAAGTATCCCACACCCATTTATTTTCATCTGCAAACTTCCTAGGTCTTTCATTTGGATCTGGCTCAACAGGTTCTTAGATTGGCATCATAGGAGCCTTAATGAAAGTTTCTAGTTTTTGAGATTTATGCAAATCAGACAAGATTCTTGGTTCCAAATCTGGTATCTTTGCCATTTCATCTACAGCCTTTTTCATTGCTTGTAATGATATCAAAACATAGAGAGTTGGATTAGTTGTGTATTAGAAGAAGTCATCCTTTGCTAATAGTTCTATCTAAAATAAAGGTAGTTTTCTATCATGACTAAATACTTAAACTCTATTGTCTGCCAGAAATCCATCATCGTATTTATTCAACACCCAATCTGTATTTTTAATATCTACATTTACGGGTATATTGCTTTTGATTGTCTTTTAATATCTATCGAAATTAGATTTCATGAGTGTTGTGATTGTGTCTTGCATCATCAATCTAATAACTGTTAACATACGCTTCAATTTACCAAAGTCATAGGTGATTTTTGATGTTTCTTTCATATTGAACCATCCCTTTCCAATTTCAGCAAACCTATCTTTAATAATTTTGATCATAGTAGGCACCCATGTACCTTTTAATTGATACATCAAGGAAGTGGTTGCATTTTCTTACATGTGTTTGAATTCATCTAAATGTAATGCACCTTCTCTTTTAGAGAAATCAAACAAACTCTCTTTTAAAACTTAATTGCATTCATGTCTGATATCTTATAAAGCCTTGACAACCTCTTAACTTACATATAAAGTGGAAAATCCAAAATTCTTATTTAATTCATCAAAAGTCAGAGGTTTTCTAATGAATGGTTCATCATATTTAAACATCCATTTTTCCATGACTCCCTTGGATGCTTCAAGTTCCATCCAACCATAATAACGAACATCTTTCTTTCTCTCTTTTGCAGGTAATCTCAATTTAGGATAGTTTTCATCTTGTTACTCATCATCTAAGTACTTATCGAATATGATCTTATTCATAGTTCTCTGAAAATCCATATTAACTTCAAGAAGCAATTAAGTAGTTTCCATAGCTTCTAGTTTCTTGGTCTTTGCATTCTGTTCAATTCTTTTCTTTTATTCATTGTCTAATTCACTGAGATCAAACAAGGACATGTTATCTATGTAATAGTTGTATCTAACAAGAGCATCAGCAAATATCCTCTATTAAAATGCATTCTTCAATCTTTTGACATACTTACGTGGATCTTCTGCATCAAAACAAATGTATAATCTATGCAATTCTAATTTAACATCATCTTTCAACCATTTGCCAATAAACTTGTCATCCTTGTACTCCAATATTTCCATATATTAGTATTCATCTCCTCTCAATCCTAAACCTAAAAGAGGATGCTTGATTCCTTCTTCATCCTCTTCTCTCCTTATCCAATCTTCATTACTGTTGTCATCAAATGTGGTATCATCAAAATATTCAAGTTTCAACCACTCTACACTTTAATCCTTCTATTTAAATTCAATTCCAGCTTCCTGAAGTAATCTATTAAAATCAAGAGATCGAAACTCCTTTCTTTTTCTATCAATAGCCACTTTCCTTGGGACTTCACCAGGAATGGGATCATATGGTAATATCACCTAAAAATGCCACAAAGTATTTTACTTTCGGTTCTACACTTGTAAACTTGTTCATTTTTTTGTCTTGTCTTCAACTGATTCCTTGGTACTTGTCGAGATGCTAAATCAGATCGCAATTGTTGTCTACTGGAGCTTGATGTTTGTAACCGTTGCAAGGAGATTGCTTTGGGAATTGTTTATCGACTTATGGTAGTCATGATTAAGTCAGGTGATGGACCCTGATTGTAATTCTTGACATTGTACTCACTGGGTAAAGTAGGGTCTAAGACTTCAGAGAAGACACCTCTTTGCTTTTATGAAATTTATGCCATTTTTATATAAAATTTATATATATACAAATATCTCTCTTTTACTATTCTGCTTGACACTTCTTCCATCTATACCCCCTTCATTTTATATTTTCTAAAATTTAAATTAAAAAAAGATGGAGAATCCTGTCGAGAGAGCAGTCAATGAGGCAACTGCGGATACACTCTAAATGCCTGATTAGAAACTAATGAAATAAGTAGCTGACCTTGTCAACCTAAGAGCAGATTAGTAAGATTGTAATTCAAACCATAGATCGAAATTTGCAGTCTAGGCTATTGGCAAGAGACTCATGCAGCTTCGTAACGGCAAGGTGCAAGCCCTTACGATGGAGCTCATCGAATATCTTGCATTCACCTGCGAAACACCCTTCTACACTTAGATCGCCACCAATGACTTTCTATAAAGACTCAACACTCTCCTCAACCCATAAATGAATGCCCAAGTAATTCACTCCTTTACACCCAATAGATGCAACAAAGATTACTCTAAGTTATAGCAGTACTCAAGTCACTTATGCAATCACACCAGGATCTATTTCCTGCCTTCTTCCAATTTTTGCAAAAGATCGCTCCCAAACGTAACTGTCTTCTAGCATCTGCATTTTAGATCAAATACCCAACAATTACGAAAGCAAATATGCAGTACTCAGAAAGGCACAACCAGCATACTCTTCAGGAGCAAGAGTCAACAGTTTAGGATCTGTAATAATTTCTATTTAATTCCCAAAGGGCAACTCCAAAAATGATAAACTTAGACGAGATCTAGAAATTGTTAAATCCAACATCACTTTGACCAATGTAATCGATATTGTTAATCCTTAGGAAATCATTGATAACGCAAATCCATAAGAAGATGTAAGCAAAAACGAAATCCTTAAAGACATGACTACCACTTTGAGAGGAGTCGAAGAAAAGCTAAGAAAGTATGGGTCTACTTCTAAATAGTTTAATTACTGACATGGGAAACAATGATGAGGGGTTGATGAACTTTTGCTTAGAATTGAATGATGACCTACTCAAAGTAATCCCTGTTGATAATATATTAGACTTTTACACGATATGAAGTGTTGAAGAAGCATAAGAAACCAGATCCTTTCAAACCTTAACCAGCATAATAACAATAATAACAAGTGCCTCAATCACAAACTTAGCAACAAGGGCCCTTCCAATAATAATAGACTCCTATTAGCATTTCTCCACCCATGTAAGTACCAAGTCAACAATAATAAATTCAACCACCTCCATAACCAAAGCCTCAATAAATCGATTTATTAAATTTATTTGAATACGATCCAAAAACAGAAGCATAATAAAAAGGGCCATAACCTACTTAAGCAGTTTAACCGGAAAAACAATAAAACATGTAAAATTTGATATTAATAACAATAAAGAATTGATCTGTTTGAAGTCGATATGTCAAATCCTTTACCATAACAACCACAACTGACATCAACTGTTACTTAATAATAATAATCACAAGTTCCACCAATGTCATAAGTGCCACCAATGTCTTAAATTCCACCTATGTAATAATTTGGATAACCACCAATACAATAATAGTAACTTTATGGGCAACCTCCTATTTAATAAGTTTAATAGCAATCTAATTATTCTGCTTTGAACGCATTTCCTCCTTAATAATAATATCCTCCTTAACAATTATAATACCCCCCTTAATAATAACAATACCCCCCTTAATAATAACAATACCCTCCTTAATAATAACAATATCCTCCTTAATAATAACAATATCCCCCATAATAAAATGTATTAATTTATTTTATTGAAAGTTACAATAATTATATCAACAATAATAATTTGGACAATAGCAAACCATGTATTAAGCTTTCTAATAGTAGCCAACTTAACCTGTTCCATACTAATAAGCTCAACCCTATCAACAATAAGGTTTCCCTCAATAATAATATCCAGTTATTAGCAGTAAGACGCGTTGATATAATTATTTTAGATATATCTGCCCAATAAAAGAAACCAGAAAACGAATTTGACAATATACTTAATTTGGCAGTAGGATAAAAATCATAACCCTAGTAGCAATAATAAAAGTTAGACTTTATTTGATATATTTATAGTTCAAAAATATATAATATAAGACTATTATTGTACTCTAAAATAACTAAATATAAATACACAAATAGACTCACTTAAATGATTTAGTTTTAAAGTGTATAATATCGCCGTCTTTAACAATATAATCTTTTCCTTCTTTTGAAAACTTCTTTTCATAGTTATCCAAGGCATTATCTCCTAGCTTCTTAAATTTATCAAACGACATAACCTCTGCATTAACGAATCCCTTATTATAATAAGAAAATACTTTTTCAAAATCTGAATGAATGGCAGCAGCTGCTTGAGGAGCTTTAATGTTTTTCTTGATAGTCCAACTTCTGACTTCATCTGAACCAACAGTGAAAAATCTAATCAAATTTAATAAATCATATCCCGCGATAATCATTTGATCTAATAATTATTATTAATCCTGATTTTCAACGGAGTAATAGACTATTTTGCTATCTGGACTATTTTTGGATACCCATTATTCAATAGGTTTTGCATACTTATTTTATTTCTTAGCTACATAGGCATCATGATCCTCTTTGGATAAATTAATTAAGTAAATAGATGGCTTTGCAGTTAATAATTAAATTTTCCGTAATTGTATTTATTCTAAATCGGTCCATTTTTGATATCGAACCCATTATTTCTTCTTTAATAGTTCATCACATTTTTGCAAGACTTTATATTATTCTACCATATCTCTAGCTTCAACTGAAACATTTTTATTAGCTTCATACTTTTTAATTTTTTTGCTGTATTCATCTACTCTCTTTGATACAAATTGATAATCCTTAGCCATTAATTCTTCTGAAATAATTTATAAATCTCTTATTGGATCCATGGTGCCTTCAGTATGTACAATTTTCTCTTTCTCAAATGCTCTCACAACTTAATACAATCCATCCACAGCTTGAATGTGAGCCAAAAATTCATTTCCTAATCCATATCCTTCAGATGCTCCTTTCACTAAACTAGTATTGCAATGATTGTTATGATTACCCTGCAATGTCGATGATGCTTAGTGTAGAGAAGACCTATGACTTGGGTTTGAAGATCTAACATAGATAATCAAATCTGGGATCAGGGACTTTGACTACTGCTTAATTTGGATCAATGGTACAAAATGGGAAGTTTTCAGCTGGCACAGATTATTTACTAAGCATGTTGAATGTAGAACTCTTTATAGAAATTGAATTAGTTACCTTACCAACGTTGGCCATGCCCACAATTCCCATTTTCAAACTTGAACTTAAACGAGTCAATTAGGCCATTAATAAATTTATGATAGTCAATTCAGGAAATTTGATTGTCAACATAAAAAATGATATCATGAAAAGATATCATAGGATCAATCTCATTGGGTAAGGCAGCTTTGGAAAGGTATACAAAGTGAAAAATCAAGCTAATGAATTGAGAGCCTTGAAGATAATTGCTAAGAAGGATTTCACAGATCAGAATGAGATTGAGAATATGAAAAAGTTAGATCATCCCAATATTATGGCTGTTTATGAGATAGCTTCGGATGAAAATTGTTATTACATTGTAAGTCAGCTATGCGAAGGGATTGAATTATTCGATGAGATCCACAAAAGAATAAAATAACATCAAGTCTTTTCTGAAGAAGAAGTCAGATACATCTTCAAGTAGATTTTGAGTGCTATTGCATATGCTCATGAGAAAAATATCATGCATCGTGATATCAAGCCAGAAAACATACTCATCGATCCAACTGATTAACATATAAAAATTATAGATTGGGGATTAAGCAAAGACATGACCAATATTGTATCAATCAAATAGAAAATAGGAACTATTGATTATGCAGCTCCAGAAGTTCTTTTAGAAAAAGAGTATGATCAGAAATGTGATCTCTGGTCTTGCGGTGTTATTTTATATATTCTACTCTCTGGTGAAGTCCCTTTTCCAGGAGAAAACACAGGCGAAATAGAGAAGAAGATTGTTTCTTCTAAAATCAATCTGAAATAGAAAATTTGGAAGACCATTTCGGATGATGCTCAGAATTTATTAATAAACTTATTAGAACCTGATCCCGCAAAAAGATTTAGTGCCTAATAAGCATTGTAAAGTGAGTGGATTCAAAAGTAGAGTAAGTCAGTTACAAAAGAAATATGTTCTTAAGAAATGTAATATAGACTTTAAAAATTGTCCAGGTTTTGTTGTGAGAGTAAGATGGTCTAAGCTACCTTTCATCTAATGATCTAATAAAATCTGACTCAAGAAAAGTATAAGTAGTTGAGGTAAACCTTTTAGGAACTCGATAAGAATGGTGATGGAAAATTAAGCATGGAAGAATTAAAAGCATACTGCAATGATGATATCGACGTCGAGGATTTATTCAACAGAGTAGACACCGATAAAAATGGGTATATTGAATTTACAGAATTCTTGACAGCTGCAGTAGACATGAAAAAATTGGCATCTCATGATTAACTCAAAGAAGCATTCAATTTGTTGGATCAAAATGGAGATGGGTTTTTGGAAATTGATGAGATTAAAAAAATTTTTAATTGCAAAATCTAAGTCCAAGATGAAAATTAATGGGATCAATTACTCTAAGAAATGGACAAGAATAGTGATGGCAAAATTTCATTGGAAGAATATTAAGAAGCCATCTCTAAATTTATTGACAACAATCAACCATCATCAAATTTAGCTAGCCAAAATCCAAATCCTGAACCAGAACCAAATATCACAAAAAAAGTTAAGATAACTGAGTCCACTTACTAGTTAAGGAATAGGTAAATTAATTGATTTTATATTATTATATTGATAAATTGGTTTCACTATATGAAAAAGACTTATAACTTAAAAATTGAATTAAATAGCTCAAGTTCTTCAGAGAGAACTTCCCCTTACTTAGACAGTGATGGCTAGTATAATATTCATAAGTTATACAAGGGAGTATTATGATTATTTTGATGTAATTAAAATTGATAATATAACTTATGGTGAAGTCAGTGCTAAAAGATGTGGTAGGATTACTATGGAAGATAGGGTATGTCATAATTGGAATATCTCACTAGTTTTAAGCAATTGCAGACTTTGATGGAAAATAATAGCAATTTTATTTTGGGGTCTTTGATGGTCATGGGGGGTCTTATGTAGCCAAGTTACTTCGAGAACAATTGCATTCTCATTTAAAAAATAATTAGTTTTTCAATATTGATATTGAATAAGCTATTTTAGAAAGTATTCATCAATTTATATTTCTCCCAAATTAGGTTTTAATTAAATGAATATTGACATTCTTAAATAATAACATCTGTTGATGAAAGATGGAGGTTCAACTGCTTTGTGTGTTATCAATGTAGGTAAAGAGCTATTTGTAATCAATGTTGGGGACAGCGCTTGCGTATTAATTGATAAAGATTTCTAAATAACTAAATTAAATTAGGAACATAAACCTGATAGATTGGATGAATCTAAAAGAATTACAGATAACAATGGATTTGTTTTGACCATCAAGTATAAACACAATTAAAAAGAAATTAGGCTAGAATTAATGGTGAATTGGCAGTGAGTAGATCATTTGGTGATCCAAAATACATTGAACATGGATTAACTGCTATTCCTGAAATCACCAAGTTGCAATTGAATGAGAACTCTAAATATTTAATTCTAGCCACTGATGGATTTTGGGATGTGATTACTAATCAAATTCTCCAAAAGTTGCTGATAAATTGGGACAACTTTAAAGAAAAAGAAGGTCTCTCCCAATATTTACTGGAATCAGCCTTAAAATAACAGACTAATTATAAAAAAGACAATATGACAATCATCATCATTGATTTAATTATTTATTTCAATAAATTATAATGATTTACATTATTTTATAATGATAATGATTTTGATCTATTCAGTAGTATCATTTTTGAAAATATAATCTTCATATGTATTTTTGTATTATATATGAAATAAATCAATAATTGAACAATATCAATGAGGAATAAGCATTAGTACTTTAGTAATAAAAATAATATTTAATCATGAACATTAGAAAATATCAATAAATATTGATATTCAAATTAAGAAAATAGAAAACTGATTTCTATTTCGAGTTAATGCATTCAAATACGGAATTGTGTTTTGAATTTCTATTTGGATAAAATTTTTATAATATTAATTATCTTGTAAATGACTTAGGAAACTTTGAGATAGTTGGCTAGATAACTCAATAAAAACAAGTTTCTTGTAATAGTTTTTTCATTGAAATTAGATTGCAAAACCTGCCACAGATGTATTCTAATGTGTTTAGGCTTTTATATTGTTGGTTAAAGGAGTAAAAATATAGGATTGGCTTCTGGCTTAATTATTGATGAGCTGTAGCTTACCCTAGATGGTGGAGACTATTATTGAAAAGAAGATTGATTATGCAAATGTTATTTTGTGCAAAAAGCTTTATCAATTAATACCTCAATAGCAAAATTCTTTAGGGAAACTTATATACTAATTAATAAGTTAAAGTTTAAATTTTTTGGAAGGTGAAAGAGGCAAGTCTTAGAGAAGCAAAAGCACTATTCTAAGGCACGAACCAAGCGTTTTATGGTAATAGCATTAATAAAATAATTTCATTTTAAAATAAGAATGCTACTAATCAAAGGTGTAAGGAGGATTTACAAAAAATATTTTAACATAGAAAAATCATAAAGAATTAAAAAATTAAGGAGGAAGATGAAAAGAAATTTGAATTATTAAAAGAAAAAATGAAAAAAATTAATAAAAATAGTTATTTTATATCTCCTAGAAAAATATAATTTGAATAATAGGAAAAGATAATTCTCAGCAATAATAATTCAGAAAGACAACTTATCCATAACAAGTAAATGAGATCCCTAAGATCTTTCAGATCTTCATTTTACGATTGAATAAAGCATTTAAACTAATGATTTTGTTTTACTTTATATTATATATTAATATAAAATAATATCATTCTTGTTAATGCTTTTTTAACAGGTCTGTATTAGTAGGGTCATTTTAGAGTGGTTGGATCTATTCTACGTCTTTAGAATTGATTTCCTTCTCCTCTAAGTGGGCATATTCATCTTGCATAGTTAATATTTCGAAATCTTCATCTTTTAAATTTAGTTCAAACGGTTTCTAACTATCTTCTTTGACGTGATTGTGATTGTCCTCCTACTTAATAATATTCATTGCAACAGTACTTGCTTTTCTTGATACTGCTTCTTTTTTTAACTAATAATCTTAACTCTCAACATTAGGCAACTATTATATGAAGTAGATCTTACTATTTGATTAGACTTATAGTTTTAATCCTGTATTATAATGCTATTTTCTAATTTGGATTAATTCTCTTCTTTGTTTACCATCGAATCCATGGTTAGAGTTGGAAATGGAATACCAATTGAGTGAAATTTAGAAATAAACTTATTTGAATACTAAGTTTAGAGTATAAATTGAATCCTGGAAAGCTCATAAATTTAATTCGATATTGTGAGTTTCATTTCTCCAATTCTCTTCAATTTTTCGTAATATGGAAAGAATAAATTTAAGTTGATTAGTTTTCCATTACTTTCAACTCTGATGATTTTGCCAAAGATATTTTTTATTATTTTAACATTCTTAAATTCAGGATAATACATGGCTATTACATGATTAATTGCTTCGAATTGCATATAACTTTGGTTCATTAGAATTACTATGTAAGATAATAATAAGAGAGTTGATGCTATAGATCCTGAATCTGCCAATATCTCACTTATTTTCGGATAGGTTATTTAAGAAATAGTTTGAATTTGATCGACTTTATAATAGAAAACGGCATAAGTTTCGTAACCCAACTTTTTTCCAAAATATTCTTTATTCATAGAGTTGCCTGTCACTTAATAATCAGTAATGTATTCGTAATCATCGAAACTTTCAAACAAAAACCCTTAATCTACCTATGTGTCTGAGATCTTCGTATTTACTTAAGCATAGAATGTACTATCTTTTGTTAAGGGGATGACCAACTCTTTGTCAATATTGTCCAAAGTAACAGCATTAGTATTAAATTCTTTTTTGAACTATTTGACAATTAATGTATTGGTTTATTAATCGAAGAAATTTTGTATAGTTTCATTATCAGCACATTTCTATCCTTCTTGTAAATACACACCCAAGCACTAGCCAAAAACAACCATCATTTCAATTTGAGGATTTTCAGTTGTGAGTTCACTACTTGTTTGTATAGTAAGGTTTTGAAGTTCAACGATGTGGAAATTAAACATGTTAGTTTTTTTCTTATATTGTTAGGGATATCCTCTATCGGGAGATTAGCCATTAACGAAATAATAAATAACAGGTTAAAGAATGACAGCTTCTGGATTGAATGGGTCAATCGATGTGTATGAATATTTTCTCATTTCTATTTGCATAAAACTCTCATTAAGTTCCAATTTGTAATCTTGTACAAAATTGGATAAGGTAGTAACTTTTGGCAAAATTTATCCTTATTGCCATTGAACCAACATGTACACCAAATATGAAAAACTCAATCCGTAAAGCAAAACTGACATCACTCCCCCTTAAACAGTTTTGTATTCTGATGTTGAATATTAAATATTGGGGTAGAAGGAAACTCCGAATTAGTCTAAGCTTTTGATAAACTTTATCATGTTCATTTAATACAAAATTCAAGTTTGTTTAAATATTATTATTAAATTAAACCTTGAATGTTGGAAATTCGTTTTTAATATATAATAAATTAATGAAGGTCATCCTCATAGCATTATTGTTAACTTTCAGCATGGCAGCTCATTTTGATAAAAAAACAATTCACAAGCATATCGAAGACTTGCACAAATCTAAATGGGGATAAACTTTGTTGTCAATGATGGCATTACATTCATAATCACAAGGACCTGTTGATGAATTGGTCTAGGCTATCGAAGACTTAGTTGCTGACTTACAAGAGGAATTAGATGTTTTGGAATTTAATTTCGGACAAAGAACAAATGAACATCACAAAATTGTGACAACATTGGAATAAGAAATCAATTAAGCTTTCGTTGATTATTAAAGAACTTAAGACACTCTTGAAAACTTACTTTACCCAAGAAGAGAAAATTTGAAAAACAAAATTGAATAAATTCAAGACTATTAAGAGGCTAATAGGTATAAATATTAAATTACATTCATCTAGAAAGACTTTGGCTGAAGCATAATTAAAGAGAGAAAATGAGAAGGAAGAATTTGAAGCCTAACTTGCAGATTTTAATTCAGCTGTAGAGTCAACAGATCAAGCTTTAGAATTGCTTTACAGTTTAAGAAACTAATCTCTTGGATAAGTGTCAACATCAAACATTAGAAAAATTCATGTTCAATTAAACATGATTGAATAAAGAATCAGAGCTCACAGCAAACATGGACCATTAATAAAGGCTTTAATTTAATTAGCAAATGAATAAAATTTCTCAAACTAAGATATCGTTGGAACCATCTTAGACAAATTGAATGAATTTAGAAATGCTGTTGTAGATGCAATCAATGATTCCACAGCATAAGAAGCTAAAGATTAATAAGAATTTGAGGAAAGAGTAGAACAATTAGATCATGAATTTTCAGAATTTGGTAAATAAATCAGTAAAATTACAGTCGATTTAGAAGCTACCATAAGTATGTCTTCAATCTAATTATTAGCTAAAATCAATGAATTAACTGAATACTCTGCCTAAAGAGATGCAGATAGATAGAGATTCTAATCCCAATTGAACATTGAGAATGATAGTTATGCTGAGGAAACTAAAATATATTAAGATATGAAAAATGAGTACATTAGAGAATAAGAAGTTGCTGAATCAGCTGAAAAGGTTGTTAGAAGTGCTGATTTTTCAAATATTAAGATATGATAATTATTTTATTACAAACTCAATCAAAGAATAACATCAATAAATATAATGTAATTATTTTATCGAATATGAATTTAACTTCAAACTATTCTATAATCATATTAATTTCAGGATGAAAGATCAAAATCTTTGCTTTTTGAAATGGACTTACCATTTTCAAACTCTCCAATGGCAACTCTTCCATCTAAAATTATCATCCCTATTCCATGTTTTTTATCTCTACTATAAGAGCCAACATACATCTGTCCATTAGGCCATTCAAACTCTCCATATCCATCCATTTCATTATTCTTCCAAAAGCCTATGTATCTTCTTCCATCCTGATAAACCATCCTTCCGAATCCACACATTGTATTATCCACAAATTCTCCAACATAATAAGTTCCATCATTCCATTAGTATCTTCCAAAGCCTTCCCTTTTATTGTTAATAAGATTTCCATGATAGTTCTTTTAACTTCGAACTTAGGGAAACTCAATTGACAACTCTTTTATCTGAATTATAGGCTTTAAAAATTCGTTATAATATGTTCCGCTCAAAATTTTATTAAAAAACCATCTTCCTTCAAATACATCACCTCTACTCATAATTAATCTTCCAGAACCGTGGATCTAGCCAAAGATAAAATGCCCTTCAAATAAAATCGATGTCTTTTTTGAAACCAGTTTACCAAAACCATGAGCTTTCTCATACTGAAATTGGCCATAATAAATTAAGTCGCTGTTTTATTCAAAAGGCTCTTTTACGCTGAAGAACCTTTTATACATGGTTTTCTCAACTGATTTCTACTGAAAATAGGCAAAGCTTTTAGACTTTTAACTTGATTTAATTCGTTCAAAGGCTGAACCTTAAACAAATAAAGAGTTCAAAGAATTCTTATTTTCAGCTTGAGTTTCGAGAGTACTATCTGTAGATTGAATTTCTTTTAATGCATTTTTGAATTCTTTTTCAAATTGGGTGAGATTCTTAAAAGGCAATTCTAACATTTACAAATAATAATTATTGTCAAATTATAACTCATTCAATTTATTTACCTTCCTGCCATTTAGAAATTTTTGGTTTACTATTTAGTTACTTAAGAACCGCATCGCCATGATTCAATCCATCAACAAAATCACCAAAATAAACAACTCCACTTTTATACTTAAACACTCCAAAACCATGCTTTTTACTTTTTTTATAATATCCTTTGTATTCTTCCGAATTTGGCCATATATAATGTCCAAATCCTTCCATCTCTCCATTGACCCATTCTCCTTTGAATTTACTACTATCCGCAAATTCCATCACTCCATATCCATTAAATTTATCATTTTGAAATTATCCTTCATATTTAGTGCCATCCTTCCAAGTATAGACTCCATAGCCGTGTCTTTTCCCATCAAGTACCTAACCTTAGTATACAGCACCGTTAGGGAATTCCAGTTTTTTTTTTTCAAGTTTTGTGTTTAATTTGCATTCATCCTCAAAGTCTTTAAACATACCATTATCCCCTAGAATTTTGTCAGCAAAAAACTCTCCTTACTAAATTTAATGCAAAAATATACATAATAATCTCCGTTTTCGTAAATAATCAAACCTTTTCCATGCTTAAGACTACATGAAAATTATCCCTCGTAATAATATTGTTTTTTTAAGTAATATTTGCAATAACCGAATTTGTGTTGCTTAATCAATTTACCTTAGAACCATTCTTTTTCATTTTCGTATTTCTCTACCTTCTCATTAACACTTTTTTAGATTAAAAGTTCATCCCTCACCTTTGAAATTTGAATAGGCAAATAGAACTACAAATATAAGCATAAGAAATCACATTTCTAATGATTACGGTCCTATTTCCAGGCGTTATACTTCTTTGGTTTTACAGCTGAACTGCTGATTTATTAGTTGCGACGTAAGTTTAAGCATGTACATTTCTATGTAACTGCAATCCTGATTCACTTGGCATCGTTTTTGTATTACTGGTTTTGTTGTTTTGCTCTATTTCTTTTGATTTCATTCTCAATGTTTTTATATACTAATTTATTTAATATCTGGGAGCTACTAGATTTCACCATTTATACTGAGATTTGAAAATATTAAACTTAATATTGAAGTTAAAATACAGATCATTCAAGCAGTCTTTTGTTCATTAACTAATTTTTTTGATTTCAAAATTCTATATGAAAATCGCTCTTAAAAACGAATTCAGAAGAGAATATTAGAGATTATTAATCTTTACTTATAATAAGTTACTTTTCTAATTACATGATATTATTGAATAATATTAGTAATTTGCAACAATAACACGTTCATGAGGTTAAAATAAAGAATTTTTTATTTAAAAAGTGATTATCTAAGAATACAATTACAAATACCCTTATTAATTGGATCTAATATAAACATTGAATTTATTCTTAGAATTCCTAATTTTTATTTATTTCTTTGTTTTAGATTATTAATTATTTTAAATCAGATGAATTATTTAGATATGATTCAAATATATTTTGGCTATTTAGGTTACATAATCATTATGTTTATAAATTTTGAACTTAACTCAAAATTAATATATATATATGCATGACAATTAGATTTATATTTACTTAGTTTCTTGAGGTCCATGAATATTTAATTTATAATATATCAAAGAATTATTAGTTGTTACTGATATCAAATGTGTATTAATTATTATTTATAGACTAATTAAAAATTACATCTGGTTAAGTAATAAATTTTGGAAGATATTTAATTAGCACATTTTGACACAAATATTATGAAAAAAAGAAAAAAATAAATTTAATAAAATATATATCGAAATATCTAATGACCTCATAAGGATGTAGTATTATCACCATATTTAGAAAATACTAAACTATATACGTTCTAATCGAACAATACTTAAAGCTCCCTAAATAAACCAAGAATGGTCAAATATTAAGTTTTAAGAAAATAAACAGGTTTGGGATCGAGGATCATTAGATAACCTGACTCTAGTGTAGAGGAGTAAATAATTGAAACTTGCAAGTCACTTATGCCAACAAGACCAGATACACAATAATCAAAATAAAAAAATGGAACTTAATCTGCCTAAGAAAAACCATAAACAAGAGAGAATCATGCATCTCGACTTAGAACTCCGAAATCAGAGAGTTTATTAAGAATTAAGAGCCAAGAAAATTAAATTGAAGACTTTTAGCCAATCAATTAATAATTCAACTATGTGGATGAAATACCTTTGGATCACCCAATTTGGAAACTAATTTTGCCAGATGTTTAAAGTGTTAACATTCCTAAGCTTATAAATGACAATCCAGATTATTTCCATCATTAATTAGGTAAATCTAATGGAATAAATTTAATTTCTAGGTTTTTGCGCTTGCTATAAATGTGAATGTGGTTAGTGTAAATGTAATTTCTCTAAAAATTGTAAATTGAATTATTAATCTTCTCAAAATACTGTTTATGGCAAAGATTTCTTACATAAACAAACTGGATATAATTCTCTTCGACCATTGAATTAAACGTATTACTCCACTCAATTTTTTAATCAAAAACCAATTGATCAGCAAAGTTCACAATAAGTAAGTTTAAAATTTAGAATTTAGACATCATACAAGCAATTCAAAATCCCAGTATAAGAAATGCTTAGGCCATAATCACAAGAGCATCGAGGAGATTTCTTAGGCAATAGTAGCTACAAAGTACTCTATTCTTAGAGATTTTTAGACTCAATTCAAATTCTGGGGACCACCAGAAACTGCTCATTTTAAAAGGCCAGTTCATTAAAGTGTGAGTGATTAAATACCTTTCACAGCGCAATCATTATATAAAGATTCATTTGCAAACAAACCTTATCAGAAGCCTAGCGATTCTTTAAAGATGATGACAGAATTGTAAATTTTTATATGCTTAATTTGAAGGACTCCTTTGCCAACTGGATAACCATTTGTCTCATAATCATAGACCCAATTAGCATATTAACCATTCAGAATTTAAAAAAACCCTAAATTAAACAGCGACAAAATCATAGATTATGGTAGAAGTCCTAAATATGATACTCAATATAAAAGTCTAGTGCATACAGAATACACACCAAAAAAATAAAAATATTGTCCTGCAAAGGAATACATAGCTCATTATTAATAAAGAACATAATAAAAATTAAAATAATAATAGTGAAATAAAATGTATCAATCTTGATAGATTCTAATATGGTATTTGTAAATTATTCAGTTATAATTTTCGGATTTCTTCATAAAATATTTTATTTAATTACAATAAATGTCAAAATTTTAAGATTAATTGTTAAATTCCTCAAGATTTGAACCATCTTCGATTCAGTAATAATGTATTAATTAATTTTTTCTTTGAGTGTGAAATAATTTAACTTATGAATGCATTTTTTAAGATCTTATATATAATTTAATCTTTTATTAATTTTATTTCGGAATCTGATTATAAATTAAAGTATTTACTTATTAAATGAAGCTAATAAAGTTTGACAAATTTGATAAGCCTTGCCTTTAATCTTAGCATGAAATCAAAATAACAACCAATCTTATTAGAACTCCAAAATAAAGTCAATCTTAAACATTTATTACATTCAAATCATCACCTGTTAATTCAAAAAAAAGTAGTGTTCATCGACAATCAACTCATTTGACACAACACAAAAGCTAAATTTCTCACAACCATATAAATAACAAAATCCAAATACTGTCCTAATAAAATGCAATTTTAACATTTTAAGAATGCATTTCCATTCTTTGCGATTTTAAATCCACTTCGCCTTTGCTATTATATAATAAAAAATTACCTTAAAAAACAAAGGAGAAAATGGACTAAATTTCTAGTATTGTTGATCAAATGTTACCCTAAGACAGTAAGGAAGAGATGAGAAGATCAAAAACTCTAAATCAGGAGAAAATTTAATAAATGATGAAGCTCCTCATGTAAGAAAAACAATAAAAATATTAAGCAATAAAATCTGGTGAGAGCTTGATCAAATAGTAATAAGAATAAATTTAATCCTTAGTAAATATATTTAATTATATTTTCTAGAAAACCAGAATATCTTTATATAGACCAAGTCATGATGATATATGAATGTAAAATATTCAAATTATTGTTTCTCTTCTACTATCATAATATAATGTCTTATTTAGCATCTTACTTAATTTCGTTTTTTTCTGTTTTTAAATACCCACTTTGAATGGTGAATCTACTGATGTTGAAATTCTAGGAGTGTTTATTTTAACTGAATTGTTTTATACTGATTGAACTTATTGATCATAAATAGATTTTCCATATTCCAAAATTCTTCGATCTAACAGGAGGATTAGATTTGTTAGATCCTTCTCTTTGTAGTCGGATGGAATTTAAGAAGTTTCACAGAATTCTTAAATCACATCGATAATCCTTTTTAATTGATCGAAAGCTGTTTTGGATGTTTTTTCAAGGAGTGAGACTTTTGATAATAAAATAGCCACCTTATTTGGTAAATCAGATTAAATTTAATTTTTCTCCCTTTTTTATTTGATTATATATTTACTATTGCTAGAGGAGTGCAATATTTTTAAGCATCGATTTGATAAGTTATTTCTTTTAAACTAATTCAGTAGATATTAAATCAAATTATTCATTTACACTATTTTCGAATTAAGTTTCGACAATTTCAAATTTTTAAACTTGCTCTTTTACTACTTATAATTAATCTTGAAAGCTTTATTGCCTATTTTTGAAGTAAAAAAGTTCCTCCTCAACCTTTTTGAATGCCGTATGTATTTCAAATTTAACCACTTTTGAATTATTGACTTCTAATTCTTAAAATAATTAAGCCAATGATTTTACTTTGCTTTGAACGACTTCATTGTCTAAAATAATTGCTTAGCATTTACCTTATTTTTATTCTTAAATTATGTTCTTCATTTTATCAACTTCTTTCTCAAATTCAAAGATTTTATACTACTCCTTTTCAATATTTTCAATTTTTGATGTCAACTATTCATTTTATTATTTAATCGTTTATCTGTTATCTCGATTAAGTTTGTGCAAAGTTTAAGAATCTTATTTAATTAAAGTATTAGCCTGTTGCAATTACTAAATGGCTTACTTCATGTCGATCTGAATATCAAATTAAATAAATACAATATGTTATTCAGTGTATAGTTTGAGTGCATACTTTGTTTGGAATTATTGAATTTAATCTTATAATTTATTAATCCTCTCATCAGAACTAGATTTGAATTAACGAATATCGCTTTTGGTTAAATAGATATCAGACACAAAGGATTTAAAATCATTGAACTTTTCACTTTGAGTGTAGATGAGTGAGTCCAATTGTTTTTTAATTTCTTTTGTTTCACATTGAACGTTACTTTCGATTAATTCTAAAGATTAATATATTTTTAAGACCTATCAGATAATTTTCTTGCTACTGTTTTTCCTTAGCAAATTTGAGCTCTACCTCTTCTAAATCCTTGTAATTTGGAAAGAATTTATTATTACTATTGACACTGATATAGATGCAACTGCTGATATACTCTTATTCTAAGCATTTTTCCAAAATCTCTCGTTGCTGATTACAATTGTAATTATGAATCTTGAAAATTTGTTAGAAAGCATCGAAAATCTCATTAAATTTCAACAGTGTTGTAATAATTATTTCTTACATAATGTTATTTATATTAATAATAAATCATCATAAGAAATAGTCTGCGATAGTTTTTTTTGAATTCGATGCTCTATCAGTTGGAGCAGCCTCGAACAACTTATAATATTTCTTAAGGTTCTCATCCAACTCAAGAATAGAAGCAACATTGCCACACCTAAAATTAAAATGAATTAGAACCTATAGCAATAATTTGGAGCTGACCAAACAGTGACTAAAGAATTATCAAACATGAGTTTGAATCCTTCCATTGCTAGTTGATGTGCTCTGCAAATCAAAGAAATGCCATTTCTACGATTAAATTCCTTCACAACATCTGCTCCGAAAACAAAACCTGCTCCCCTAGCACTCTGACTCCATCCTTCAATTTCTACAACATTTAATATAACAAAAAACCATCAGGATCAGACCACATCAAGTCACACATAACACCTTCGTGAGGCACTTCCTACTTTCTATTAATGATTCGAATTTCATCAATTGTTTTGATATAGGGACTCAAACCACCATGTACGCAGAAAATGCTGTCATTGACTACTGCTGCCAATGCCAAATAATCAAAAACTTCAGTGCAATACTTCCAAACATTCAAAGTGCTGTACTTTCTTAAACATTCATCATAGAATCCATATACTTAAGTAATTTGTCTAGATTCATGATTTCCTCGAATTCTCTTATAATATTTATATTTACAATGTTATCTAATCTGGATATCTCACTTTCAAAGCCAACAATAATAAGAAAGTCTCAACACTATTATATCCTCTATCCACAAAATCTCCCAAGAATAAGTAGTTAGTTTCGGGAACATCTCCTCCTACCTTAAATAATTCCATTAAATCTTAAAATTATCCATGAATGTCTCCACAAATCTATATAGTAATTTATTTTACAGTCACAGGAGCTTCAACTCTTATGACATTATCTTCATTATTTAGTATATCCTTTGCCTTGTTACATAATATTTTGACATCTGTTTCCTTTAGATTCTCCCCATTTTTTAATGTTTCTATCCATTAATCAATATCTGACATTTAATTAGAAGAAATATTTTATTTTTTTTGATTAATTATATTTTAAAGAATTTAAATAATAAATATTTATATATAATTTATTTTGATAATCAAATTAGGGTATTATTATTCGTGATGTTAACTAGTATTTTAATTACTCTGTTTTTTAAAATATTGATATAATTTCTTTTATTAAATTTCAACTTATACTTCATCTGTTAATAGTAGAGAGATGAGATTTGCTCAGAAAACAAGCTACAATTTAAAAAGTGATTCATATAGTGTATATTTGTAAATGACAGAGGTGTAGAGTGATTAGAGAATAGTATTAAAAATGAGATTAGACAAAGTTTATTTTTTAAAAATATCATAATAAAACAAAGTACAATTTGATAGATTATTGTTTTTTTAAGAGTTTTTGAATTTGATATGAAATTACTATTATGTTTACTTTTTAATTTTAACTATTCTAATTAAACAATTTATAAGAAAAATCAGGATTCTAAAATTTTTATATTTCAATTAAAGGAGCTAAAATTATTACCCTTCCTCTTGTTAATTGATTAGTAACATTCATTAATAAGGTAGGAGTAATCTCTGTTATGATATTAACTTAGATAAACCAAATTTAGGAAATGTAGATTATAGATGGATAATTAAATCAACCCAAACACCACTAAAAATCTTTATTTAATAACAATATTATTTTGATGAATTTTTATATTTCAACCTTTTAGGTTATGATATTTTCTACTTACAACTTCAGCCCAAGTCTTTGAAAGATTTTCAACTTTAAAATTTTATTTCAACTCAGATTTAATATTACTACTCTACATTTCATTTACAATCGATTATAATTATGTGGCATTCCCTTATTCGGTACAACAATGGATATATATCTGATTTTTTACACGATCCTCTAAGTTTGTAAATAATTTGACTGATTTTTTAGGGTAAAAACCTGCCCCATCAGTATAAAATAAAATTTCAGTTCTTGATATATTTATGTATATTACCTATCAAATCCATCATTTTAGTGCTCAATAATTAATTTATATGCTTCTTAAAATGCATTCTCAAAACTAGTAAGTCCACCAGAAATTGTTATTTTGTTTTCCATTTCAGCCACATTGACTTTTTCACAATTAATAACAACTCTAGCTTTGTAATTAAAAATAATCACACTCACTTTAGCATTAAAATTTTTCTCTATTTATCCTATGCAATATAAACAACCAAATTTTGCAGAATTCCAACGATTTTTGAAATTCATTGACCAAGAATCATCAATCATAAAAATATAATGCATTTTAGGCTATCCACTTAATTCACTTTTTGGCACAAATTTGATACTTGGATTTTTTAACATTATTTTTAACTATTCACATACCATTTATCCAGTTCCTTAATTCCATACTTTCATCATCTTTTGTTTAAGAGCTAATTACTGTGTTTCATCTAACCCTTTAAATATCCAATCGTCATATATTTTTCTTATCTCCTTCCATTTTTTTGCTTCATTTGTTTCTTATGTAACAATTAAACATTCGTCATCCATTTCATCGCAAGTGAATAAGGAAGGAATATTTTCTATTAACACTCCATTCATCCCTTTGTAATATTAAATAAAAATACCTCTTAAATAATGACCATTAGAACATTTATGTTTGTGGCCGCCATTTGAATAAGGTTAATCACACTTGCGCTTGCACATTGGGCAAGTATGTCGACAGCCTACCATATTTAATTCTATAGTTTTTATCTCTTCATAACTAATAAATTTTTCTAAAGTTAAAGTTTCTTCCTTTGCTTTTTAAATATGTAGTCTTATCTACTTTGACAATTCGGAAACGAAAGGTTTTAAGAGTTAAATTTATCGTTCTGATTATTAAAACTATGATTTATCAAAAATCTTGACTTCTATCTTTTGATAATTATCAAAGCAAAAGATTTCCTTCTGCTCTTTCTAAAACTCATATTTACTTTTTATTTATGATTCACCCTGAAGACATTATATGATCAATTCAAAAAGTTCACTTTCATAATCTTCATCATTGATCTTATAATTCTCATTAATTACAAAATATTCTTTCGATTTAATTGGGTCTTATACCTCAGTATATGTTTTTAATTTTTATACGTTAACATTAATTTTTTCTAAAATTATTTTTAGTTCATTTCTTAATTTAATTTCAAATAGACCTTTGATTTCAACTTCTATTTTGTTCACCTTATTTTTCACATAATTTTCAATAAATTTAGTTTAATCTGTTATATATTAGAATATTTATTGATCATTATATTATTTTTCTTATATATCATCTTAATAGTTCTCTAAAATTGTTTTATCTAGCTCTTATATTAATTGTGTATTAGTAATAGTGTTCTTGTTTTTGATTTCTTTACCAAAATTTGCTTAATTGTCTCTATAAAATTTTTCAATATAATTTTGATAAAAATTGGAAATAAGAGTCTTAGCTTTTAATATACTTTGTTCTGTTTTATTTTATTTTATGTCAGCAATAAATTTCTCTAATTAATTTATTTAAGGCTCTAAAATTTTAAATTACTATCCTAAACTCCTTTGCCTTTTTTATAGCAAGTAAATCTCCAAATTATTAAAATTGAATAATAATAGATACATCTCTCTCCAGTTCCACTTAAGATTATGCCAAAATTAGCAAAAGATTTATTATAATTGATGATTTCCTACTCAATTTTAGACATAATAATTTTTATCAAACTTGTGTTCTATTATGAAATCTCTTCACTATCAGAATTGTCTTGCTTATTTTTTTCTTGATGAGATTTTGTCATTTCTGATTTAATTACATCATAAATTGAAAAATACATCATTTACCAACTATTTAACTTTTCAAGTTTTGAAAACCAATTCTTTTAGCAATTTTCTTATTACAATTATATTTAATTTTCATTAAACATTGCTGTTGAAAAATATTTAATAAAACTAAGTTAAAAGTTTTCTTAATAATTAATTTCTTTGATCTATATGTACTTTAAGCTGGCTTCTAATTAATACTATTTTTGAGAAACAGGGATTGTTTTTGTCTCTCTGAATACAATGATATGTTCAAAATTTTGGATATATTCCTAAACTTATTTTTCTGTAGATAAGGTAATTTATGTAGTATTTAATTTTAAGCCTTTATTAATTTCAATAATAGTTTTCTTATATGTATCCTTTGTATAATCGAAGGAGGCTTATGGTTGTTTTTAGAACTATTTACAAGACACTTAAAATGATTTGAAAGCCTTTATCACTGACTCTTAAAAATTATTCCAATTTTTCCAATTTTAGGGATTTTAGAATACTTCTAGTATTTTTTTTTTTTTTTTATTATCATGATCAATTTTGAAATAGTCCAATAGTGCCAATAATTGTGAAATCTGGTTACTGATCTATTATAAAGTGTTTGGGTCATAGCATTCTTATTTCTATTATAATCCTTAAAATTTATCTAATATTTGTATTAAATCTCCAATTAATCCTACTTCTTCTGTATTACAATTAAATTTTTTTCCAGATTTAACTGATTTTTAGCTTTTATATTTTTTTCCCTAATATATGTAATCATCCAAAATGTTTTTCTCAACAAAATCTAAGGTGATTACAAATTAGTAATAATTGTTAATATCCATCACATCATATTTTGTCTTAGGTTTTTTCATCCGATCCTCTAAATTTTAATTAAAAATCTCTGCATATCTCATTGTTTCTATTGTATTAAGAACTGTTCGAAATTAAATTTAATTTGATAATTCTGTCTCGAAAATTGCATAAATTTTAAATTTTTCATCGAAATCTTATCGAAAAGGTGAATTATTATTAATATTCTCAAGAAACGAGGATACATATTTTTGCTCATTATCTGTAGTTAATTTGTACTCATTGAATGAAGAGGAAATATATTCATATTATTTGGCAGAATACTCTCTTAATATTTCTCTTTGTTGTTATTCCGATTCAGTTTTTATACCTCCCCATAATCTTTCAAATTCAGTATTAATTTAATTAAGATTGTCCTTTAGTTTAGTTAGCTATTCTGGATCCTTACTAACTTAAAGAATAAAGTTGTCAAGCGACTTGAATCCTTTGTTATTTTGATACTCTCTTTCGATATCTTTTATCTATTCAAATACTATAACTTCCGAATCTTTTAAGGAGCTATTAATATGCTGGCTTAATCGCTTTTGATATTTAAGATAAATCTTTTTCTAAATTTGTTTATCCTATTTAAATTAAAGCAATTTTTCATTAAGATCTTTTTCAATATTGAAAAACGTTATTCGAAGCTCCTCATTTTTTTCAGCTTAAATTTGATTAAATAAATTCAAATTTTACACAGGACTGCTGAGCACTTTATCTATAATTTCCATTCCAATTTGATTTTTAAAGCTAAATTTGTCATCATCATAAATTTCATCAAGTTTATTTTTCATTAATTAATCATGCTTATATGAAATTAATTCAGCAAATTCCAATAAATCAGGTAAATTACAAATAGTTTACCAATTAGTATTTATATTTTATATGAATAAGCTTAAACTTTACATTTTAGATGTTTCAGTTTAAGATTCAAACTTTTGAATAAAACTTTTAATCATCCTTATCCCATAAAGATAAGCTTCTTCTGAATAAGATTCATTAATTATTAATTATCTCCAATCTTTATTGATACCTAAGCTTTGATTGTTTCTCCATAATTTTTCAATGCATGCAAATCCCAATATTTAAATATTGTCTTTTGAAATATTCAAAAATTCATTAGAATCTATTGTTTAATTTTTTCCATCTAACTTATGATTGTGTTCTAAATTTAAGCTATTAGCAATTCCCTATATCTATTCTAAAAATGGAGCAAAGTTGTTAGCATCATTATTTTAATTAAAACACCAACTTAATTATTTAATAGAAGAGAGATTAGTTTTCATGGACACTAAAGTAAATATGCACATTTCAACTAGATTTTTAAATTGTTGATGTATATCTCCCTTAACATTAATCAAAATTATGTCACTTATGGATAAGATTAAAAGTGCAATTTTTTTATCAAATTCAGAATCATCCTTATTTGGACTCTATAATCCCTCTGTGTCAAGTATTAATATATAATCAAATAAATTATTAAAGTACTCCTTATAAGATATTTTCAATAAATTTAAATAAATACCCTTTGTACATCTGCCAACGCTTGTCCAAAAATGACAGCCAAATATTTTATTTAAAATAGTTGATTTACCGGAACTTTAAGGTCCTAAAACACTTAATACCAAAACCTTCTCTTTTCCTAAATTTGTGAATTTATTTTTAAGTTAATCCAAAAAATTTTCATTTATTTTGAGAGAGTCACCATCTAGAAATTCAAAAGGTTCCCCTTTTTTAATCATTTCATATACTTTTTCTGCTGGATCGATTAATGTGTTTGCAATACTTCTTTGTTTAATGGCAATCAGTTCTCTCCAAAATATTTCTATCCCAATGTTTCTGCACCCTATAAATTCTAAATTTTTTTTTAGTTCCTCTTTGAGTTTTTGCTTTTATTATTTAATTTCTTTACTTTTTTTATCAAAATATATTAGCTTTTCTGTGTCATTCTTAATTTCAGCCTTTTTAAGCTTTATTTGATCTCTCTCTTTTTTGAGCTTCATTAATTAATCATTTATTTATTAATTTTTTTCCTACAATTCATAAGTGTGTCTATCATTAAATTTTCTAACTTAATCAGTGAATTATAAATAAAGAATATAGTATGACCTTTTTTTTAATATATTGCAAAACATCTTTAAAAGTCTTGATAACTCTGAGTTCTTAATTGATTCCTCTAAATTTGTTATTTATTGTGTTATTTTTTCATTTTCTATATTGTATTGAGATTTATCAACCATGCTTAAGTTTTAATTTGAATTATTTCTTTATTGCATAAGTTCGTTTTCTCTTACTCTTAATTTCTTTGATTAATATCCTATTGATCTGATTGGAAAGGCTTCTTTCTCATAAAACCCCAAAGGCATTTAAATTAATCTGTTTAGTTCACTTTCTAAATCTTTTAATATATCCCTATCATCTATGAATTAGGGAGAAATTTTTTTTTCTTCGGTATCAAAATTTTATATAATACTTAAAAAATCTTAATTAGAAACTAATGACTATTAATCCTTTTAAGCAATCTCATTAAAAATAAATGCTTAAGCATGTTAAATTTCAAGCTCTTTTTATTATTTATCCAAACCTCTTTAAGCTAAATCCATTATTTTATGAAGTTTTATTCCTTCTTTTTTAATTTGCTCTAAAAGTTTCTGATAATCATTATTAATTTTATTCTCTTCTAAATCTCCTTTGTAATTTCTTATTATAAAACATACCTTATGATTATCGATTTATAGAGCATTCTTGATTTTTTGTAACTAGAAATAATTTTCTTTAAGTTCTTATTCTGAATCAAATTATATAATCCACAATCGAAACAATGGCAAAATCTTAACCAAAATTTCAATAGGTATTTAGCCATGAGCATCAGCTACAGTAAAGTTTCTTGACCCATTAAATTATGTATCAAACATAATATCAATAGTATTATTGTTTATTTGGCAGGTATCCTAAGTCTCAAATTTTTCTTATTGATAAAATAATTAATTGATTAATTCTGTTTTGCCAATTTAAGCTTATTTTAAGCTTAATGAAAAATTTATGATAGAAATGGAGGTTTCAAATACATAATAGAGCTTATCATTAAATTTGAATAAATCTATTTCTGATTTAGCATTTAAAAAGGATGGATTTTGATAAATAAACGGAATAGGATACATATTTGAGTAGAATTTCAGCAACATAACTTTAAGTTCATCATTAGAATTGCTATAAAACAATTAAAACAAGGTTTTCATATTACCGATAATTTGTAAATTGTCTTTTTTTTGGTTTTGGTATGTAGTTATCATTGACAACAACTTTTTTGATGATTCTCCTCTCTTAATAATATTAAAAAAAAATGGAATTAATGCTTTAAATTTTAATGTATCCTTCATATCATCCATCCAATTTGAAACAATTTTCTTCTCTTATTGCGGAGTTGTTTCAGTTAATGAGATGTTGAAATCTTCAAGAGTAAAGCCGCCATCTAAAGGACATTAATCAAAGATATTCTGTTGAAGATAATAAGCAGAGTATAAATAGATGCGTTTAAAGAAACCTACTTTACCCAGTTCTTCCTTATAAAACTGTGGATTCTCCTAAAATAATGAAAAACATTCTTCTTCCAATAATTTGCCAAGGTTTTTGGCGTTTAAAAATACTATTAAGTTATATTTGAAATTATGTTTATCTATCACTTATTTTTGCCTAGCACTCCAAATATAGTCGAAATTATAATAAGTCTTATCAAGAAAATGATTTAAGTTAGACAATATAAATTTTGAGATCTATTCATCCTTTTTAGCCATAATTGTAAAAATAATTATTAATGTTCTTTTAAAAATACTAGGTGTAATTTATTGTTGAATATTTCTTGAGAATAAGAAATTTAATGACTAAGGTTTTAAACATATGAATAAGGCTCTGAAAGTTTCAATCTTCACATGATATTTTCCTGAGCATTGTGGGACTAATTTTTCAAGAATCTTAATATAAATGTATTTTGTTTTGGCATCTGAAATTAAATATTAATTGACTGTTGCAACTAAAAGTATCTTAAATTTATTCTTTCCAAAAAGAATTTTCAGAGAATATAACTCTTTTTCGTTTAATGAGAACAACTCTTTGATTAATTCTATTGGTAATTATGATGTTTCTTCTAACTTTAATTCTTAATGATTTCCTTCTAGGTTTTAATTTTCTATAAAAAATTCATTTAGGCACAATACTGCCTTAACAAGCTTGAAAGATTAACTTATCTTATAGAGCTTGATGATGCTTGTTATAAATTTTTTGAATTTTGGATTCAACAATTCTAATAATAACACAATTTCTCCATATGATAAATTTTATTCTTGATTTATTAATTCCCTTATGTATATATCAATATCATTGCTATTCTGAAGTATAAATTGTAACTCTAAATCTTTTTTTTTTTTATTAAAAAATTCCCTTTAAGGATTTTAAAACAAAAGCCATATCAAAAATTGCTAATAGTGAGTTGAGCTTGTATCAAAATTTTAATTAAAAATCTCTTATGAACAATTTGTTGGCAAAACATCTTGCTTTTTCAGAGTGGTTTCATTATTTTAATTCATATCAATTTATTCTATTCTTTAGCCATAATTACAATTTTCATTCTTTTGACCTAACTAGATTTTTAGCATTTTCAATTTAAATATCGGCATAAATTTTAAATTGTTTAATATGCAATATAAATCAGTTTATAAAATTTTTTCAATGTCCTTATCAAAGAATTAATCAATTAATTTGTATTTACCTTTTTGGAAATTTTCATAAATAGTTATTTTCTCTTTATCTAGATATTCTTCTTATTAAAATGTAAATTAAATTGAATGATGGGTAAACAAACGGTAAATTTAATCTTAGCTATTGCCTTTGACTTTAGAAATAAAACTCTTTATGAATCTTTACTTAGATTCAATTTTAGCGAGCGAGTCTTTTTTTAGATTTTATTAAAATTCATTTAATTCATTAGATTTGTTATAACAATATTACTGCCAAAAGTAGAAGATTAAGCTGAAGTATAAGCTTTCAAACCCATGATACTTCAGAATATTTTAATCCATTTTTTTCAGATTTATTTTTTATTCCCATCTAACGTTCTCGCAATAATGTAACAGTGAAACTTACTTTTTAATATTTTCAATTGCTTTTTCCTTTGTTTGAGTTGTGCATAACTTAATAAACATTTTTTAATCAAAGGATAGGGAGGATAATTCCATTGAAAAATCTTAATATTTTTTTCCTTCCAACTAAATAGCAGAAATGATTTTATTAATCATTTCAGAGTTTGCTGACGAAAATAAATTATTTTCATATTCTAAAAATTACAACACTTATTCTTCTAATAAAGCACCTATAATCATTTCTAATTTTTTTGTTTCGGATTCATTAAGATCATTATTCCCGTCTATAAACCCAAGCAAAATTTTAAATATGTTTAAATAAGGATATCCCCATTCTTTAATTTTTGTTAAACAGTTTAGATTCAATAAGTGGAATACTTTTTCTTTAAGTTTTTATAGAATTTCAAAATTTTCTATAATTATTGGGTTGATATTGTTTTAATCACAAAATTCTTTTTATCTTAAGTGATTTATTAATTATTACCAGTCTGTATTATGTAGTGTTAGCTATTAATAAATCTTTTTATAATCTATATCCTCTTGGATTTCAGTTGAAAGATCTTCGGCATTTAAAAATTACAATTGAAGTTTCTTTACATATATTTAGGTTTATTAATTAGTTTAAATGTAAACGAGGGCGGACTTTTAGTCCTCCTCATTCAATTTTACAAATATTTCTTTAAACATCTCTAAAATCTCAGTTTCATCGGTCCAAATACCGTCGTTTATTTGTTCGCATAAATCTAAAATTTGCTCTTGAATTTCTTTATCATTAAATTTGAGTGAATTCATAAGAAAATTAATAATATTGTTAAGAAAGATTTATTTTTATATTCTATTATAATTCTATTACAATCCCAAGTATTAATAGAATTGAAGAAAGTCTTATTCTTGCATATATTTGAGGCATTTTAAAAATAAACCCAATTAATTCAATTGTAAAATTATGCTATGATTAATTGTTACGAAATATACATGTTCTTCTTTTATATTTCAAGTTCCTCTACATCAATCAATAGGGAAACAAAGAGGTAACGAAATAAAAATACGGTAAAAAAAATTAATTGAAATGAGGATCTTTAACAATAGTTCTTTACTTTTTTTCGTATCTAATTTAATATTGAGATATCGTTGATTATTCTTATCTTAACACTTCAAACCATCTATTATAAAAAAATGAAAATTTGTTATTTAAAAACCTAATAGTATTGCACTATATGAATAATTTTAGCATCAGTTCACTACATTTAGATCATCCCATCTACTCTAAATTATATGAAAAGATAAAGTTTCAAATTCGCCAGTTGATAAACAAGTTCCAAAATAAATTGCAGATTCTCTTTGAATAATTGATTAAAAGATAATAAAATTTGTTGAAAGATCTCAATAAAAATATGGTTGATGAAAATAAATTATCTCCGAATTTGATTTAATGTGCCCATTCTGAAAAATCTGAATCATTTATAATAAATATAAAAAGATAATTGTATTCATTTCTAATATATAATTCATCTATAACCTAATTAAAATGTAATAAAAAAAATGGATCACATTGTTACATTTACAAATGAAAATTCTAAATGTCTTAGAAATAAGTAAAATAATTGTAAGAAAGAAATAAACCATAGACAGAGCAATAATATTGGTTAATTTCATTGACAAAAATGTTTAGAATTCTGATTTTCTTATAGAGTCTTAAATTAGGATAGTTGAAATTCAAAGAAAAACAGATTAAAATAGTCCCATCATCCTCAATTTAATAAAGATATTTAATAACTTAAATTAGGTTAGGACAAAGGAGAGCTTAGGAACATAAAATGATTTGAATTTCTTAGAATATCATACGGAAACAATGTCGAACTCATCATAACAAATTCCATCCATATTACAATCACTTCATTAATATATTCATTTTTTCATATATAATTTTTTGAATAACAATATTAGTAGAAATTAAAGAACAATAAAAGGATAGTTAATAATAAAATATTCTCAAAATTAAGTTAATTAACAATAATAATAATAATCTCAAAAATCTAATCTAAAAATATATTACTAATAACATCCAAAAATTTAATCATAATGATAATCATTCAAAAACCCTAATCTTAAAAATTAATAACCTAGAATTCACACTTAATTTCTTTATCAACTTTTATATTATTATTATCATAATATTTAATATCTAGTCTCATAATTAATACTATTCTAAAATATCTCTAAACCTCTAGCTTAATTATAAATTTGCACTATATATAATTTTAATCAAGGTAATAAGTAGTTTCATTCAAATCATAAGACAATAATTTATCGAATTATACATTGATTCTGCTCTAAATATAGAAGTTGATTTTTAAATACGGTTTCCATTTGAATCATAATGTAATTATATCTAATCTAACTTAAAATTCTTCTCATTTCTTTAATTATTGCATTAATTAAAATTAAATCATATTTAATTAACGTAATTGTGATTTAAAGAATTCTTCTCTAACTTTTGTATTTCACACCGAAGTTCCATTTTTATATCGAAGTTTAATTTAGCATAAAAATATTTCTTATCTATTTTTCTTGTAATTCTTTTTGTTGTTATAAGTTATTTTTAGATTTTACTTTCAAGATTTTTAGAAATATATTTAACATTATTAATGTTCATACTAATCTGTGCTATTTTTTTAATCCTTTAATAGATTAATTGCACATGGGTGAGAATAAGTTCATATGTAACAGCAATCAAGCAATTTAGTAACACAGATACTGATGGGTTCATAAGTCAATTTGGAAATCCAAATATACCTGCTAATTATATGACTTGTTCAGCAGAAGGGAGCTATATAACTTTAAATGCTTAATCATAATCAGCAACATATATGAACAGTTTCTCTGCAAATTCTTATTCAATGTATTTAATCACATACGACCTCATATTTTTTAACTTGTGGAATAATTTGGATTTTGTATTGTACAGCATTGGCTCCAATTAGAAATAAATAACTTATAATGAGATCGAATAAGTAAGTGTTTCTAAAGGATTTTGCAATAATTAAGTTGCAATCATTTAATCTATCAATACTACAATAAATTCTACTACTATTTCTGGTTACCACAAATTTCAGATCAACTCTCTAAGTGCAAGTGTCTCAATAAAAAATTTAGTAGTATCTGCCCTATAATGTCATGGAACTTGTAGAATATGTTTCGGAAGCAAATTTAACTAGTGTACTAATTGTTTTCTTTATGGTACTCTTACACCTGAGAATACATGTACATACTCCTGCCCAAGCACAGCTATGTATTATGTTAAAAATTAGGGTTGCAAGCCTACATGCCAAATTAGTTAATAAAAGTATGTGAAAGGAGTTTGTGAACCATATCCAAGTATTGATTATTATAACTTAGTTACCAACTTTGTTGGTCTTTATATTTAATAATATAAATCTACAGAACAATTTAGATGGCAAATTATTTATGATTTTCAGTAATTAAATACAGCATTACCAGAAAACAGACAATATGATGGTTATTTTATTTATGGATTGTTTAAAAATAACCAAGGTCTATATAGAGTTCTAACATTGCCAACAAATCCAGGATCATTTATGATAGCGTTTACTCTTGAACTAGTGCTGTTTAATAAAATGCCACCTTTAAGTAGTATTCAATTTTTAATAAATGATATTTACTATGGATAGCTATATACCGATGATTAAGGTATTTTGAAAGCGGACAAATTGTTAAGATATTATAACGAAACCAGATAAAATACTGTGTTTAATGGTATTTCTTATACTGATAATCTGTATAATATTTTATATTTCTATGCCAATATAACAAATACTGTAATTATAAAAATCATAGGGAACTATTCGTAAATTTATTTAATATTTTAGAGATGCAAATGCTGGTTGGGGATTAAGAAGTTTTTATGTTTATTCTGGTTATTGTCCAACCAATTGCTAGAGATGTGATGAAAAATTTAATTGCGCTTAGTGTTAGGGTGGATATTTGAAATCGAAATGGGGGACATGTAGTTTATGTTTAGGTTCTTATTAATAAAAAATTAATACCACTCATTGTTAGGAAGACGATGATCAAACAAATTGTAAAGATCATCATTATAACTTAGATTCTAAATACATTATTAAAGAATTCATAGGTCTAGAATTAGATCTAGAAGCATACCCATAATATACCCTAATAAGTGTTGTTGGCCAAAACTTTCTTAAGGGATCAGGAATTTATTATTCAATTTGGAAATCCTAATATAGAATATTTGGAGGACCTTTTATTTGGGCATAGGCAAAGTTTTAAAGAGTTTTTGCAATAGAAGATCCTCATCATGCTATAACTATTTCTTTTATTGTGATTTTCGGCCCTAACTTCCCTGAGGATGGGTCATTTACTTTTGGTTTAGATGGAATTCCTCAAACAGAATTGACATCAAGTAGTTTAGCGGAAATACCGATTCAACATAAATAATTGCATAATTTCAATAGCATAACAATAGAGTTTGAATGCAAAGGCATAAACAATGAGCCTATTTATGGTTATTGTGGATTCTATTAACTTTATGTTACAGTTCATTAATGTAAACCTAATTGCAATTCTTGTTCAAATGATTCAGATTGCTCAGATCCAAATTATATAGAATAAATAATTCTATGCTCAGATGACCAATACTTTGATTAATATCAGTAAAAATGTTAAAGTTGTCCTACTACTTGTAACACATGCACTTCTTTTTAAAATTGTTTAACTTGTGTTGCAACTTTCTCGAATCCAACCTAAGGCTGCATTTGTGCTTCTAATCAATATCTGGAATCTAACATATGTAATAATTGTCCTTAGAATTGTAATCAATGCATTAGTTCTTTAAAATGCACAGAATGTGTTCCAAGCTTGTTTAGAATATTAGTGGATAATTAATGCGTTTGCTAGGATAGTTATTTTGAAGAAAATTAAGGATAAGTATGCCAAAAATGTATCTAGAATTGTCTAAAATGTTCATATTTAAATCAATGTGAGATTTGTTTAGTTGGGTATTAGTTAAGTAATATTGGAACCTGTGACTAAAATCCGAATACTTATTTTATGGCAACACTTTAAAAATACTTGGATTGTCCAGTTTCATCAACATGCAATCCTTGCTAAGGAATAAATTTGTCATGTGATTGTGGTGATATGATCATTACAGGGGATGAATTTTGTGATGATGGGAACTCAATTCAATATGATGGATGTTTTGAATGCAAATTCTAGTGTTAACCTTAATGCACTAAATGTATTGATGGAATCTGTTATGAATGTGCTACATTGGGTTGGTATTTAGATGTTTCTTAGTCAACTTATTAATGCAAGGAAGTTTGTTGGGATGGATTAGTAGTTGGAAACGAAAAATGTGATGATGCTATATCTACAACCAATTGCAAAGATTGTAAATACTACTGTAGAACTGATTGCGTAGATTGCGATTATTAGAATGGTAAATGCATTGGATGTAGAGAAGGTCTGATTCCTGAAAATAATTATTGCAGAAATATTTGTGGAGACGGCATTGTTGTATCTGCTATTGATATTTCTTTTAATGAAGAGTGTGATGATGGTAATCTATTTGATTATGACGGATGCAGTAAAATATGCTAATTACAATGCTAGAATATATCAATTTGTGATGATTGTCAAAACAACAAATGTTTCCATTGTATTAATAAATATAAACTGAATATTAATTTGCATAGGTGCGAATGCGATCAATTTTGCCAATAATGCGATTTAATTAATGGACAAGGATG